TTAGACTTTCTCTATATGAATAGAATGGAGTAATTTTTTTTTTTAATATTTGATAAGACATAATACATGAAACTAGGCACTTATAATACATTAGTTTGACATTAAGATTTTATTTATATAGAAAAAGTCAAAATTTCTCTAGGATTAAGGAAGTGGTATTTTTATGGATTTCTTCCTAATTTACCCTTGAAAAGATATTAAGGTGCTTCCCAATTTTCAATAAAAGGTGATAAATGATGAAAGAGAGGATATGTTACTTAAATAAGGCATTTTATTTGTTTAGACTCCCAATAATAAAAAAATAGGCTGTTTAATTGCAATTGCGCATAAAGTTTCAATATCAAATTTGGATTGAAAAAGTTGACATGAAAATTGAAAGAAAGTTAGGAGCCAAAATTTTCAACCTCAAATTCTTTATTTTGCTTCTCCAAATTTGCACGTAAAAAAATAAAATTTGGAGCCAAATTTTTCAAAGCTAAATTCATTTAAATAGGAATGAATTCACAACTCTAATTTAATCCACAAACGTCTTTTTCCAATTAGCCCTAGGAACATGTTTGGCCAGGTTAATTCCAGTCGGGAATCGAGTTCAGCGAAAGCTACTAATTATAATTCCAACATACGGGCTCGAGGAATTGGGGAGTTTCGTGGAGAAATATTTGGACAGTAGGTTCTATTCAATAAAATTTGGAGCCAAATTTTTCAAAGCTAAATTCATTTAAATAGGAATGAATTCACAACTCTAATTTAATCCACAAACGTCATGGACAGAGTTTTTCCTTTTGTTTTGAATATAGTCCCTCAAGACTTGCTTGCAACTTCAGAAAATATGCTCATACTTAACAATCAACCCTTGGACTTGATATCCTTGTCATCCACCGAATAACTGCCTTCTGTAGAATCTGAAACCACACAACCACCAATTAACGTTCCAGAAGATGCTCGAAAAGGAAACAAAAGGAAAAACATCATTGAAGATGTAAAAAATATAGTTTGTATATTGTTGTGTTCTAAAACTGAGAAGGGTCAGTCAAATGCTCGCAGTATTCGTAAAGTTGCAGACAGTTTATCTATATCTATTAAGTCAATTCATATAATTTGGTAATGCAAAAAATGGAACGTTAATTAGAGTAGATATAAATAGGGACAACTATTTTTATTTAAGCACCGCCATTTGGAAGGAAATTTCACTTTGTTGAGGATTTCTTATAGTTGTGAGTAAATTTCACTGTATGTGCACAGTTAAATGTTAAGCATAAGTTTCTCGGTGAAATTTAATTCTTGCGCATAATGTGCTTGAATCTCACATTTTCATAATGCACAGTTCAATCAATTTTAAACATTACATGCCAACCACAATAATGTCTGATACTTTCTTGAAATACTCCCAAAGTCAATATTTAATTTATAAACAAAAGCAAAGGCATATTAGACTTTTTGTTTTGACATTAGTCCCAAAGTTATCATATTAGGAAAATTTCTATGTATAAATAGAACGTTCAAAAAGGAAATTTTCTCAATATAAATAGAACAGAGGAAGTACTAAATAAATATAAAAAAAATGAAAATAGCTTATTTTTCATAGATATTAATATAAGTATACGATGTCCCAACAACTTAAAGGTAACAATACCTGGCGATTCTTTCTCAAAGTCTAAGTAGTATAAAGAGAGAAAAGTTGATAGAGTTATATTAGTTGTATTATCAATACTTAGAAAAATAAATTATTTATTAATTAACTAAAATGATAACTAAAGAATTATTATAAAAATCTATTTTACATATTAAAACCATAAATGAGTTTATTATATTTTTTCAAAAAAAATACATATTTTTACTGATTGTTAAGTTTTCTACAAAACTCCATCATTTTAAATTATTTTTATAAATTTATAAGTAAAATTTTATATATGCGTGTGATTGTAACGATAACGGAAATGATACTTGTGAACCCTCCCCCGAAGGCAAAATTATGCTAGAACGAGATATGCTCACGTGTGTGTTTTATGAAGTCGCCACCTAGTTTATTTTTAATTTTTATAAGGGAAAACTAAGAAAGAACCCTAAATGACTCCAATTTTAATTAACCTAAGTCTAGGTTTACCCCAAAGTTTAAGGCACAATCTACGGAAACCCAAGGTTGGATCCCGAACAGTCATGCTGAATTAACTAACCTAAGTGTAAATGCCCTGAAGGAAATTTATTGGCAATTGGACCAATAAAGTGTTTTGTGATTTCGACTTGGCCGCTCGGGTGAATCCCGAACGTGCTAGTACTCTCGTGTTGAATGGAGAGATTCAAAGCCGACGTAGTTCGATAAAGCCTATTCAAAGGCATTTTGAAGGTATGCTTTCATGCATGAGTGTGTGCATTGCTTCTGTAGAGTGGCCATATTACGGTTCCGGACCGAGAACCTTCGGTTCGAACCGGTCCGGAACCGAAAACCAGAACCGGTGAAACCGGAACCGGACGAAACCGGAACCGGAACTGGAGAATTTGGGTTCGGGTTCCGGTTCCAAATTTTTCTGGAACCCGAACGGCGGTTCAGAGGAAACCGGTCGGAACCGGACTGAACCGCCGGTTCCCCGGCCCGGTTAGAACCGCCGGTTCGAAACGGCGGTTCTAGCCAAACGGTCAGGTTTTTTCTTTTTTTTAATTTTTGTTGGTAAAATCTCTTATTATGTTCAAGTTATTTAAAAAAATAATTTAATTGAATATTAATTTTTTAGGGTTGTATTCTTTTATTTTTATGTCAATATAAGATTTTTTAACCGGTCTTTAAAATTTAAATTTATGTTTCAAACTTTTTTAAAACAAAAAATAATTCAGTTGAAAATTTTTTTAAAAAAAATAATTATGTTCAAGTCTTTAAAAAAAATAAATTTAATGAAAGTATTTTAATTTTTAGGTGTATTTTAATTTTTTATGTTCAAATATAAATATTTTTTAAAATCGGTCTCAAAAATTAAAATTTAAAATTAAAATTTATGCGATTCGCCGAAAAACCGATCGGAACCGTCGATTTTGTAAACCGGATCAAACCCGGAACCGGACCTTTTCGTCGGTTCCGGTTCCAGTTTTTCTGACGGAACCGGGAACCGCCGGTTTCCGAACCGTGGCATGCCTAATGCTTCATGCATTTTGGTTTTGGATTTTGTTGCCCAAAGTTGATTGATTTGTTGTTTTTGTTTTAGGCATTTGTTGCCAAAAGGTGTTTGATTGGGCAATTTATTGCCAAAGATTGGTTAGGCGATTTGTCGCCAGAGTGATTGATTATGGGCATTTGTGTCAAAGGGGTTTTGTTGGGCGATTTGTCGCCAAAATGATTAAGGCATTCGTGCCAAAAAATGATTAATTTAGGCAATTTATTGCCAAAGAAAAGTGATATTTGGGCGATTTATCGCCAAAAAAAAAGTTGATTGATTAGTTGAGGCAATTTATTACCAAAACGTCGATTCAAGCAATTTGTCGCTAAAAAGTGGTTATTTGAATTATAGGCAATTGCCAAAAAGCGATTGATTAAACGTAGGCCAATTTGTTGCCCAAAACGTGATTGATTAAATCGTATGGGCAATTTGTTGCCAAAAAACCGTGATGATTAAGGCTTTTTAGGCCACAATTATGATAAATTGACTTTTATGCCGAGGCTGTTCGAAATAAAGGCAAATTACACCGTAGTTATTTAATTTAAACTAGGCACTTTAGCCAATATGTTCGGAGTTAAGCTTAATACCCACGATTTATTGATAACCGGGCATTTAGCCTAAACTTATTACTTAAGGCAGTTTGCTGCCCCAAAATGACGATTGTGTGAATGCAGTTTTTTTTAATTTAGAATTTAGAAGTAGAAAAAAATATGCACCAAAATGCTGAAATTAAATGGCCAGAGTTCGTTATTACCTGAGTTAATCGGCGGGCCGCTTCTTGCTTCAGTTTTGAAAATTCCAAGATTAAGCTCTCTTGGGGAATACTAATTTAAAATTAATTCAATTAAGTGGACCAAATTATCACAACAGCAGAGTATAAAAGCCTAACTAAATTCAGAAAAGCAGTTAGAAAGGAACCGCAAGGAGCGTGGGAAGAGAGAGGTCCGTCAACACAGACCGAGGAGTCCAAACTGTCGATTCGGGGCTGTATTTATAGGAAAAAACAGGCTAGAGGGCGCCTGCTGCCCACCCTATCCTGTTCCACTCGCTAGTTTTCGTCCAAAGGCTTTTCGGAAGTTTCGTACCTCCAAAAATATCCGGGACCAGTTCCGCGATCCTCGTAATTTTCCGGACGTTTCAAGTACCATATTGATACTTTCGATGAACTTTCCGAATGGCCTTCGGTCCGGCCAGACTGTTTGCAGTCCGGGAAAACAGGCTTTTTGAGCCTCAAAATTTGAGTATTCACAATACTTTAGATAAAGAAAAAAAAAAGATAGTAATAGAAAAAAAAGTCGAAAACTGGACTTTATTAGGTCTATTCAATTTTTCAATTTTTCGTTTTGAATTGGTTTTTAAACCTTTCGACTTTAGATGTCAAACTAAATCGGATTGGTAGTTTGTAATTGATACAGTATGGTTCAGTTTTAAATTTCTAATCCGTTTCTCATTTCCAAATATGATTTCCAAAATTTGAAGGGTGGTTTAACTTTCACATAGTTTTTTTTGACAAAAAAGGTTAATATGAGTACATCATAATTTTTCCTTTGGTTTTTCCCAATGTGACCTTGTATTAACGATGAAGAACTAATAAAAACTTAAATTTTAAACATAATAATTAAGGCAATATAATTAAGGCAATAAAATAGACTTGGATAACAGGACTATTTTCAAAGTTGTTTATGTACACTAGTTTATTTAAAAGTTATTAATTATAGAATATTTAAGTATTATTTACTGATAATTAAATAGGATAAAATAAAAAACTTTATAAATTATCCATTTCTAAAAAAAAAATAAATAAACACTAAACAATAATATGGAATAAACAAAAAAGGAATCAAGCCTATTTATGAGACGTAAAGAGTATCATTCAGATGAATTGATACAATGACAAAAAAAAACGTATAGTATTTTTTAAGGGGAAAAAAGGGAAGAAAGGCAACCCTAGAAACAATATTCATTAACTGTTTGAAAATGGAAATCATAACAAGTTATGAAATCATTCTGGTTGAATAGGTTGAACAATCAACGACATCAAATGTTTTTTAGTGACCCCAATTGATGTTCCAACGCCATCCCCATGTCGAAAGATACTTTGAGCAGTTCTGGCCATGTTTAAATCTGGGAAGAGAAGTCTTTACGCTCTCTTCATTTAGTTTCTTCCAAGCATCATTGATCAATCCCCTTATATGATTTTTCACTTCATCCTCAGATGCATTGTTATCAATCATATAGCACTGAATAGATTTTGCTACGTCACCTCTTTCGCTTTCAGCCTTTCAGGAAATTCCAAAAAAAAAAAGAAAAAAAAATGCATAAATGAATTCTCAAAATGCACAAAAATTCATTTCCTTATGAAGCCATTTTTTTTAAAAATCAGAACTATAAATTCTTTTAATATTTTTAATATTTCAAATATGTATCAAAAAATCCAAATAAAAACGTACTGAGGAAGTTCCCAAGTCATCGTTAAGTCGAGTGATTAAGGATGACCAATAGGTTATTTGCTCATATCCATTCTTCAAACTATGAAGCGAGTCTTTGGACAGATAATGCCCTAGAAACATAGCAGCATGCATTATAGCTTCATGACCTCCAATTGAGATCCATGCATTTCTTATATACTCATTCAAAGTTGGAGTATATCTAAACCACCTTGCCTCCAATAAATATGAGCTACAAAGTCTTGCCCACTGCAATGTACACAATTAATTAATGAGAAATGTGTAAAACAAAATATTGTTTAAATTGGTCGTTTAAATAATTTTTGTACCTCTTCCTTAATATAAGGTAGAGCATTGAAGCCTTCTTCATTTAAGATATAACATGCAAATTCATAAACAAAATCGACCAAAGCAGAATGACATATCTTCATGTACTCTGGTAGTTCATCCATATTCATTCTACCCCAACTGCAATATTACATATTGATGATCATTAGGGAAAAATATGAAATAATAATAGTAACAGTAATTTTTCATGGTGGATTAGTAGTTGGATAAATACCTATTTACTGCTTGTGTAAAAAGTTCAAGCTCATCTAATGATCCATATATATCATCCATATCATCAATTGCACTCAAAATGCAAGTGAATTGTGTGGCAACTATCCTGCATTTGGAGTATTGTGGCTCATATACTGATCCTAATGCCCATAAATAATTCTCCACCAATCGATCTCGAGAAAACGGCAGCTTCTTTTTGAAATCCAATGACGTCCACCACCTAATAAATTAATATTATACATTCTTTAATTGAAGTCCATACATAATGCATAAATTTGACCTTAAATTTTTGGCTATTGTCCTTGTGGTCCCTTGAACTTTGCAAGAGTTTAATCATGATCTTATACTTTCATTTGCCAAAATGAATATCTTTTTAGGGATTCAATCATGACCATACATTTTCACATTTCATTTTAATAGGAGCATAGTTATTATTAAAATGTGAAAGTCTAGAGTTATGATAAGTTCCCTGCAAAATTCAAGGATTACAAGGATAATAACCGAAACTACAGAGTCAAATTTATACAATATACATGTGTAAATATGTAAAAAGAGGGGAGAATATAAGTAAAATCTTACCTTGTTAGCTCCTTTAGCTCCCTTTGATAGACTGATTGTACCAAGTTGTAATCCAATATAGCCAACTCTAGCAAAGCCTTGTTGTGTGAATCATCTCTTTGGTAGATATTGATAAAATTTCGATTCTCAATCCTTCGCATCCTCCAATGAAGAGGAACATCCAATGCTTGTTCCACTCCTCCAATGAAGAGGAACATCCAATGCTTGTTCCACTTGTTGTCTTAAAATATTATTGTTCTCTAACTTCCCCAATAATGACTTAAGATGGAAGCTGGTGAAATTTTTGGCCTCCTCTAAAACATCTTCTCCATGCATTCCAAGGTGTGAAGCATCATACAAACTCAATAGTCCCTCCACATCCCCAGCTAAACTATCCAAGAATTTCCCATTTTTATCTCTGAACTTGTCAAGAACACATGCTTTATATAAAACAAGAAAAAATAAGACAAATTAATCCTTATTTATTCTAGACAGCGAGTAATAATATAAAACTTCACCTGAGCTAACCGAAAATGCATGTTGTCTTAGTAACCTAAAGTGTAAAGATGCACTGTAAAGATCTGAATTGGTATCTATTTTAACAACGGTTAAGATCTCTTTCATTTCTCCTTCAAAATGATAAGCAATTCCCAAGCGCTGCATAGAATCGATTAACTTAAGTTGGACACAAGGAGTATCTTTAGAGGATGCAAGGGACCTTATAACCTCTTGCTTCAACTCCTCTAAGCGGGTGCCATAAGAATCATACTGCAATATCAACAAAATCAGTTACATTGTAAATATATATTAAGGGTGTGTTTGGCATTGTTATCGGAGATACTATTGAGAAAGAAATTGCTTTTATGAAAATACTAATTAGAGGTTATACTAAAATTTATTTTTAAAGTTTATACCAGAAAAAAACTACCAGAAAAAAACTATTTTTAAAGTGAATATATATATATATATATATATTTTTGCGTGTGTGAAATAAAACACCCTTTAATTAAAGCATATTAACACATGAAACATGGACCTGACAAACCATTTATTAAAATTATGGTGATTTTAATAAAATATTTTGACTCATATATCTTATCCGTACGACATACTTCACATGCAATATAAAAAAAATTAAATATTTTAAGGTGAATTTTTTAAATATTATACTCATAAAAAATATTGTTTTCTTTTATAAAAAAAAAAAAAAAAAAAATCTCTTTTGCTTGATTTTCTTTTGCTTTTAATCTTTTTTTTTTTTTTTAATAAACTCATATCTGTTTTCTATAACATGTCTATCTTTTTTGTTTTGTCTGTTTTGTTCATTGTTTGGTTGTATTCCTATTTGAAGTTTTTTGTTCATTTCTTTGTGGAGTAGTTCCCTTTCTTTGTGAAGGGTTATTACTATATAAAATTTAATCTTTGATTTTGTTTGGTTGTTGATTTTAATCTTGAATTTGCAGAGTGGATCTTCAATCGAAGAAGCCTGGCAGTGCGACATGTTTTTCCATGATGCTATTGATGTATAGTGATGAAACTCAATCTGTCTTCGTCATATGTTTACAAATTATTGGAAAAGCAATCCAATTATAGAAGATTTAATATTTTTAATCAAGATTCACTCCAAGCAAGAAGGTTTTTTTTTTTTTTTTTTTTTAATTTATTATTCAAAAGAATATGAATTCCTTTGTTTCATTAAAAGATCAGCGAACTCAAGTTTATCGTATAATAGTAAAGTTATATGTTTGGTCTAATATGTTTATTTGTAATTCTTTGATATTATTATTATCGATTACAATTTTTCAAAAAAAAAAATAATTGGACCTTGATGAGAGAACCAATAGGTAAATAATGCAGACACTGAAATCAAATATACAGACAATTATTTGAATTCAAATATACAGACAATTATTTATATAAGATTTGAAAAAGATATTCATTTAGACGAAAAGGAATCAAATGATGGATAAATGGACTCCATTTGTAAAAACTAGAAAAAGATAAAACTCAGAAAATCATAAATTCAAACATAAGATGAATATGTGTCATAACTTGCAACCTATAAGTCTGAAAAGTAGAAACTAATAAAGGAGTTCTATTTTCAGTCTTGTGAGTACACAGAAGTACATTTTTTCAACTCTTCCAGATAATAACAGCATAACAGTCTACCACTTTGCGCTGAATCAAATTATTGCTTAATCCAGAGATTGTTTAATCCGACTCAGGACTTAGTCATAGTTAAAGCTCATCATCTCCTCTCCTTGCAGGTGCATTTAGAGGGGATCGAACCCAAGAGCTGTTCCTACATGCCCAGCCTGTGTTGTCAACTCAGCCACAACCATAGGTGCATACCCCAACATCTTAGTTAGAAGTCTTAATCCATTGTTTCTGTTCAAGTCTTGATTCATGCAAACCCTAACAAGGGGGTCCTTTTATTACATAAGGTAAAGGGTGTGTGTAATTCCCTGGTTATGGTATTATGAAATTTTACCATCTTTTTCTTTGTTTGCATGACTTAATTAGGTTATAGCCAAGATAATCTTCCATTTAAATGAGATAAATTATATTATAAATATTGCAGATTGATGAATATTGTGCCCACTTCCATTTAAATGAGATAAATTATATTATAAATATTGCAGATTGATGAATATTGTGCCCACACTATCAAATCTTAAACGGGAAATATATATTATCTGGTTGTTAGGTTTCAGTGTGCACAGCTCATGAAACATGCGCTCTATTTTGAATCCAATCCAGTGTATGAACATCACAAAATTGTTAAATTTAAGTACATAACAAATCATTCACAAAGTTTAAGATGTCATATAATTGTTTTTTAATATCAAGTATAATAGTTAATTTATGCATTTAGTCAAGAACTGGTGGATACCGTTTGGAAACTGTGTATAAGCAAAGCTTAAACTTTAATTTAATACTATTAGAACGTAGACATCTTCCACATGGAGAACCGATTGAGCAATCTGAATGAATCTACTATAAAGATTTGTCTGTTCAATGACCCAAATTTAATAACGTTTATGGATGAATAATGCTGTTTTATTATTATTATTATTATTTTTAAGCTTTCACGCGGTTGCAATATTGGAATGTTGAGTTCTTGGTTCACACAACTAAATTCTTTATGTATTTATCTGTAATAATTTGATAAATAAAGAGTTCAATTTATCTGTAATAATTTGATAAATAAAGAGTTCAGAATTAAAATTTTCCACTAGCCCGCCACAAAATTACCAATCCTTTTCTCTATGAAAAGATGATGTGTTTAAAGATGTAGAGGAGCCTTCTAACTTCAAGAATAGAGTCAGACTTGTAAATATACAAGTTATGTTACAGCATCTTTAATACAAGCGTAGATTAGTTTAATTTATTTACCACGTTTAAAAAATTGAAAGTTAAAAATAAAAATGTTCTCCAATTATATTGTTTATTTAGTCTATGAGTTCAATGTGTTTAAAAAAAAGGGAGACGTTGTTTATCACACTCTCTATTTTCAAAAGGTATATTAAACATGGTGACTCAGCTTTTTATTCTTTTTTTTCCTATTTATTTATTTATTTTTATTTTTTATTTTCCTTTATGCCTTCTCTTTTAATATTGCTCAAACTTCTTCTTGCGCTAAAACTGATTTATTTTTCGTGCATTAAAGAGCTATTTTTAAAATCTAATATCTACAAATACACATTCAGCCACATCACTATCCACAGCTTCTATTTATTAAGACACATCAACCACAATCTATGATTGCATTGGAGATATTCTAATGGGTAGTTTAATTAGTAACTGTAATTGGAGATATTAATTGGTTATATTAATTTCTTATTAAAGTCTAAATTTTTTTTATTAGACTTAAATAGGAAATTTAAGTCTAATAAAAAAGGGCTAGAAACTTCGGAAACAAAAAGGGAAAGATGCATAATAGGCTCAACTGGTCTTAAGAACTGGTCCGACTATCCGATCGCCATCCTCTGGGTCTATATAAGGAACTTCCTTGAGTTGAGAAGAAGAATGCTCAGTCAGTAAGTTGGTTAGAACAACACGACTCTCAAAATAATTGGATCCCGTGTTCAAAAGAGACCTAAACGATAGAAAATGGGTCTGAATGAGAGAATAAACGATTGATTTGAAAGAGAATAGAAAAGGAAAGTCAATCAAAGACAAGGAGTTCGAACAGGTACTTGTAGTGGATTTTAGGGCCCGTAATTTGTTTGAAAAAGTACAACTTTCCAAATGTCCGAGTATACCACCTATCCATCCGAGGTTGGCTCATTATGGACATGCGACTTTCATCCCAGCAAAGCCCATGTGCATGGGACATTATTGATGCCGGCCTAGAAAATCAGGCCGAAGCAAGAGGACCGAATTGACATAGCTTGGAGAGAATTATTGTACAGCTAGAATAGCACCAAAAGGACCATTTGCGCTTCAAAACCCATAATAATTGAATGGTGCACCTTGTTTGGGGGTATATTTATGATCCTTATAAAAGGAAAAAATTATACTACAGTATGCGCACAAATATATATAAATAAACCGAATTGTTTAACCATTTCAAATTATCTTGTATTCCTCTCTTTTTAACCCCTTAATTTTTTATATTTCTTTCTTGTTCCTCTTATTTTTATTTTTCCCTTCCTCTTTTTATTCTTAATTCATACTTTTTGGATTAAATAGGTTTATCCACCTTCCTAAGTTACCCCCAATAGACACCAGCCCAATAAACCCATAACAATTTCTGAGCGAACAACTTGTTAAAATAATTATACATCAACCAAACATAAATACAACTTGGTGATTAAACATCAATTGACCACCAGCTAAAGCTGTACAAGCAAACTGAATTCAAGTTATTTTATGTCTCCCTTCCTTTTTCAATACCTAATTTCTTATATTTCTCTCTTGTTCCTCACATTTTTACTTTTCCCTCTCTTGAACTCTTCTTGTTCACAAACTAAATATGCCTTGGCCCATTTATACACCTATCCCAAAGCACCTCTGATGGATGCAAGCCCAATGGATCCATAATAATCTCATACCCAACTCGTTAAAATAATTGTATGTCAACCAAACTGTAACACAACTTGGTGATTTAACATCAATTCACCCATCAACTAAAGCTATAAATTGAGCAGTAAATAAAGGGGGGGAAAGGAGTAGTATCATTTATGCCACTTACACGACAAACTAACTATTGGATTTGAACGACCATTTTTATTTGATTGGTCACTAAATTAAAATAATTAAGTTCTAAATTCATCTATAAAACTTATCTATAGAAAATATATATATATATATAACAAACATCCTAATGTATGTGGTAAGAACATTAATTTTGGCTTAAGGAAATAGGCTCAACAATCAATGACAGAACTCTTCTCTTTGATCTACTATCAGGAGCTCCATGGCTATCTCCATATTGGTAAATACATTGAGAAATCCTTGCAAGATTAATAGTTGCATCGATGAAAGGCTTTGGAAACTGAGTCTCACCAATTTCACATTCATTTATTTTCTTCCAAGCTTTCTCTGTCAATTTATTTATATGTTCTCGTGCTTCCTCCTCTAAAACAACTGAGTCTCACCAATTTCACATTCATTTATTTTCTTCCAAGCTTTCTCTGTCAATTTATTTATATGTTCTCGTGCTTCCTCCTCTAAAACTCCATATTCATGAATATAACACGATAATGAATTTACAGTTTCACCCCGAATTAACTCATCGTGGAGAAATAAAGAGTTTAGGAAGAAAATATTGAAAATTTATATTATAGGTCATTCCATTAAAAATTAATTTGACCCCATTAAATTCTAATATTTTTTTTACATATTATCTATATTACTTCATAAACGTATCACAAATTATTTTTTTATATTTTTTATACATATATAATTATATTATATCAGAAATTATTATCATTATATGTGTTATTATACTCGAAAAATTTTCGATTCAAGAATGCTTTTATTAAAAAATTTTCAGAATTATATGAATGATTCATTCTATAAAAAAAATTAAAGATTGGCGCAGAAATATTAATAATAATATAGAAAATATTGAAAATTGATTTTCAAAAACTATATAATTCTCAAAAAAAAAAAAATCAAGAACTATATATATTTGACTCCATTAAATTAAAATTCTATATATATATGTATGCATACCGATTAAGTGGCCAAATCATTGCAAAGTCTAAAAATAAGGGATGGCCATTTCAAGAGTTGATCGTAATTGAGTAGGGAATGAAAGCAAGTATAAGTATAACAGTTCCTGATACAGATCGCCATCCATTTTCAATATATTCTTCAAATGACGGTGTAGATTTGTTGTGGGCCCACTTTGCTTCTTGCAAAAATGCTTTGCATAAATCACCCCACTGAAATAGTTCATAAACATTGCTTCTTGCAAAAATGCTTTGCATAAATCACCCCACTGAAATAGTTCATAAACAATATAATAATTAATATATTAGCTATGTAATTAACTTTAATTCATTAACTTTAATTCCTAATTAATTAAAAACAAAATTGAACTTACTGCTTTGGCCAGGTGAGGAATAATAATTTCTCCATTGTCCTTGAGAGTATCGTAAGCCATCTCATTGACAGTATTATATAGAGCAAGGAAACTTAACTTCATATAATATGGAAGATCTTTCACAGCATTGACATCCCATCTAAAGAAATAATTCAATATTTGTATCTGATTAGTATAATTTAATTAATGCTGTTCTTCTTATCAGGAAAAAGATTTAATTTTATTAAAGATGAATTTGGAATAAATTTGGCTAATCCAAAGTTATTGACATGTGAATTTAATCATAACTCTACGCTTTCAGCAATAACTATACTTTTCGCCAAAATAAAATACCTTTGTAGGATTTAATCATAACCCTATACTTTCACTCTTATTTTGACGGAGAGTATGGTTATTATTGAAATGTGAATTATTGAAATGTGAAAGTGCATGATCATGAAGGATTCTCGCAAAGTTCAATAGGGACTACAAAGATAATCGCCTAAAGTATAGGTTCAAATTTATACATTAAGTCATCTAACAATATATGATAATGGATGGATGTCAACATTAGAAATGGTAGGTAGACAAACCTCTCAAGAGCTTCTGTAAACAGCTGCAATTCATCCAAAGTGCCGTAAATATCATATACATCGTCAATGGTAGTAATGAAAGAAGCGACTTTTGTTAATGCTTTACGACATCTGCTAAATTGTGGCTCAAAGGCCATTCCAACTGTCGAAAAGAAGCACTCCATTAGTCTGTCTCTACTAAACCTCAAATGTTTTGCTAGTTCCAAATTGTTCCACCACCTACCACCTACTCACATAGGAAAAAAAAAAAAAGAGTTAAGGTTAGGGTAGACACATCTAACGTGCATACTTGTGGGTGTTATGGATCCAAATGAGGCTGAACTTTCAGCATCCTAAATGATAGAATTATTCTATGAATCGCAATATAATAGTTGGCCACTGATCATTGAATCTGATTCAAGAAATGTTATTGCCTAGGTTATCAACAAAAAATAAAAGATAATGGGAATGGTCAGAAAAATTTAATAGATTTGATATCTTAGTCATTATTTTAAGTTCAGTTCTGTCGTATAAAGAAGAGAAAGAATTCGTTTGCAAATTATTTGGCAAAAAAGGGATAATAATACCTTTTTTTTGTTATGATTATAAATGTTGTATCGTTAATGATTTATGAAATGTGTATCTGATATAGATTGTATTTTTTTTTGTTTGTCAATAATTTCTGTTTCTCTTACATATCTATTAGGTAAGGTTTAAATTAACTTTCCGGAATATGATATGTCTTGGGGTAAAACCTGATGTTTGAGTAAATATAAATGTGATTATCTTTAACTTTCTATTTAATTCTTAAATAAAAAATTATTCCTTTGCTCCTAAAAAAAAAAAAAAAAAACCTAAAACAAAAAAAAAAAAAAAAAAAGACTCATCTAACATGCAAGTGTACTATTTTTTTTTTTCCCCAGGCTAGTTTGTTTAATCATCACCTTGACATTTCTTTAAGATCTCTTTGGAGTACAGATTGCACCATACTAAAATTCAGCTTTGCAAGTTCAAGTAACAAAGGGTTTACTTCTTCCCTTTTACCATATGCTTCAATATACCAGCGTGCTTCCGACAGAACCATTCGCCGACGCAACGGAAGCTCAAGAGCGTGGCTAATGTCTGAGTTATTCTTAATAAGGTTATTGAGATGTGTTCTTGTTTGTGTCATTGCATTGTCTAATAGAAATTCTCCTTCAAAGGAGAAAAATGAAGCTTCGTATAGACTCAAAATTCCTTTTTCATCCTTCTTGAAGCGTTCTTCCAGATTACCATCTTTGTCCATGAAATTCCTGAATTCATCTAAAGGCATCAACATGATAATTATCTAAGTCAGACTACTATATAATATAATAATCAAATTAAAGGCTGGTAATAATTTTGCATGCTGCACAATAAACTTTAAATGTTGTGCTATATATATATTGAAATGAGTGACAACTACATATTTGATGTTATCTATTTTGGCCTTGGTCTAATATACTCCCTCGTTTCCAAATAGTTGTTATATTTGTGGATTTAACAAATAATTAATTATTTTTTCCGTTTTTACCCTTTCTATATGACTAATAGTTATTGAACGGTTTTTACTCAAATAATAAATTAAGGATAGCACAACAAAAGTTGAAATTATGAAGATGATTGTTTCAAAGTCATCCTAACTACATATCAATAGGGAAGCCAGACTCCAATATTAGAGATGGCTAAAAGAAAGTTTTCAAAATTAAAGGAGCCAAATGAAAAGAAAAATTTTTTGCCCAATTTCTGGGTAATAATTTTAAAATTCTTTTGAGTTTGGGGGGCCTGGACTCCCCCCACTCCCCACTCCCTCCGCCCCTGCATATCAACTCGATATTTTGCAGATAAAAGCTAGAAATCCTAAAAATTATTGATATTGGTGTTGAAAGGTGTGTAATATTATTAAAATTTACAATTCAAGTACATAATAGATCATTCACAAAATTTAGGAGTGAATAAGGTGAAATTTTTTTAGAAGTTCATTGAAGAAGTTCTATTTGCTTAAAAAAAACTTCCCTTTCTTTATGTATTCAACTCGAAAAATTTTATGACATCCTTAATTTTTATTTTGACCTTCATTGAAGAAGTTCTATTTGCTTAAAAAAAACTTCCCTTTCTTTATGTATTCAACTCGAAAAATTTTATGGCATCCTTAATTTTTATTTTGACCTACTAAACATTTCAACTTATAAAATTGGATATGATAAATATTTTATTTCACCTATTGAACACATAAACTTATAAATTTAGATCGATTAAACACTTATTAGATAGTTAAAATATATAAAAATCGGCCCAATACTTAAATTCATCTTTGTACTTTACGTAAAAAAATCTTGTAGCACTCTCAACTTTTACTTTGACCTATTAAACACTTCAATTTATAAAATTATACCAATTAAATACTTCAACTTGTAAAAATTATTCTATTGAATATTCAAACTTCTAATCAACTTGTAAAAATTATTCTATTGAATATTCAAACTTCTAAAATTTGATCAATTAAATACTTATCATATAGTTGAAAAATATGAAAATTATTATTCTGAAGATTATACTAACCACATATTAAATGAATATGTTTCACATAAATACCAAAACACCAAGAAATGTTATCATTAGTATAATGAGGGATACAATATTAGTAAAATTTGCAACTTCAGGAACATAATAGGCCATTCACAAATTTTAGGGGTGCCACAAGGTTTTTTCCGGAAAGTATAGGGATATATTTATGCATTTGGTCTATAAAAATCATTATTCGAAAAGTTGTATTAACTATATCAAATCAATATTTTGCATATAAAAGCAAGAAATCTTAAAAATTTGTTTTAGTAATTAAAAGGTATGAGTTTATTACAAAAAGTGAAGTTTAAGATGTCATAAGATCGATTCTAAAGTTTGTACGCCACAAACTAAGTTTTTTTTTGTCACAATTCAGATGTTAAATTATGTATTGGGCATCAATTGATCAATACATGAGATTCTTTTTTCCAAAATATTAAGTCATTTGATAATACTGATTTACATATCGCTTAAGTCTCGATATGTTCCTAAGTAGGGGGAGCATTCGGCCAATTCGATCGGTTTGAGTAAAATTTTTAACCGAAATAAACTAACTGAAATTTTTTTTTGACTTAACCTTAACCGAATTAATTTTGATCATTAAAAACCTTAAACCGAATTAATTTGGTTTGAGTAAAATTTTTAACCGAAATAAACTAACTGAAATTTTTTTTTGACTTAACCTTAACCGAATTAATTTTGATCATTAACCGAACCGAAGTCAAAGAAAATGAAAACTTAATTAACCGATCGAATTTAACCGAAATTTGTGATTAACCGACTTTAACCGAAATAAAAATTAACTGAAGTTATTAATCACTATTTAATCCAATTAAAAACTGAAATATTTTTAATTTTTAATTTTATTATCTACTTAATCAAAACGACGTAGTTTTGATGGTTGGTTAATTTAATTAATTCGGTTAAATTATGTTTTAACCGAATTTTTAACCAATCACCGAAATTTTATTTTTCTTTAACCGAACATTCATTCGCCGAACCGAACCGAATTAATGGAATTAACAAAATTGGCCGAACCGAATGCTCACCCTTACTCTTAAGGATTTTAAGGATGTATTTTCCTATATAAACCTGGTGCATTCAAATATATATGATTCCTGAAAAGCTTTTCAATTGAAATGTAAGAATCCTAGTTTCATTGTCTTTATTTAGAGTGAATCGTCATTCAACTTCTCCTTTTTAACAAAATAATAAAATATTTAAAAATAATTATCGATAATCAACTCTTCAAATACCTGGAGAAACCTGATAACCATGTTGTCTGAGAAGTCTAAAGCTGAGAGCAACAACATGAAGAGATTTGTTGGACATAACTTTACATCCTCCCCGAGCTTGGAATCTATCAAGCACTTTGTTTATGTCTTTCTTGAAGAGATACTCTAAACCCAACCTTTGGATGTCATCAATCAGTTCAAGAATTGTCGAAAACTCCTTACTTTCATCATTAATTACACTCCTCACTTCATCCTCTAGCTTTCTTGCCTTGTCTTTGTACAGCAAATCCTGCAATTAATCCTCGTTTCAAGCTTATATATGATGAAGGGATCTAAAAATAGGTCCTGGCAATTAAGGGAAAAAAGGAAGAAAATTTCATGAAAGTATTATACATACTGCGTTATCATTCTTTAAGGACTGCAAAAAGCTGTAGCTCCACGTAGTTGGTTGGTAATTAGCAGAGCGTCTCTCATTTGGAGGATGAGAAATTTGTGCCTTCAAAAAGCTGTAGCTCCACGTAGTTGGTTGGTAATTAGCAGAGAGTCCCTCATTTGGAGGATGAGAAATTTGTGCCTTCAATGACCATTTGGGCTCTCTATTATTCATTTTAGGACTTTTTATTCCAGTTAGTAGCGAAGGAATATTTGCAATTAAATGCTTTTTGATTTATGAGGTAATAATAGCGAAGGAATGTTTCTCTTTGCAATTAAATGCTATTGAAACAGGCTATTACTAGTTAAGAATCTTTACACTATATATAAAAGGGTTGGTAGGTCCAGATTCCCATAATTAAGAAATCACGTTTTTTATATGCAAAATTAGTACATGTTCCGGTAATTAGTACATGCAAAATGTAGCTATATCAAATATAGATTTCCTTTTACTCCTTCGGTTTCAAAATATAAGTCGCTTTGAATTGAATATATTAAGAAGTAATATACCAATGTTACTATTATTACTATTATTTGTATTAAATACAATAACTACCTTCACAAGTTACCCTTAATTATGAGATAAAAGATAATTTGATCTAATTATCTTTAATTTTCATGCAAAAACTTTAATAGACTTATTCTGTAAGACAGAGAGAGTAACTCCTTTTATTAATTAGTGTGTGAATATATGATTTTTTGGATAATTAGTCTATATGAGTACTATTCATTCATTTATATTATTTATTTGTTTTATCTGGTATATGTTAGGGTAAAATGAAGTTAATTTATGTGTTTATATATTAATAAAATGCGAAATTTATGAATTTCACAAATTTATAGATCATGAATGATGAAATTTCATACATATGTATATATAATTTTGGTTGGAAACAAAAGTCAGATATTAAAGTGTGTCCTAACTCGTTAGGCCCCATTACAAGGAAACAAACCAAACTCTATGTACTAGATGAAATTGGTTACTTACAATAATCTAAACCTCATTCCTTTGTTTACCAAAATTGGTTATTATTTTAGATCAAACCAGTGTGTATATACTAGTGTTCAAGAACGTGCGATACACGTTGTTACTCGTTGAACATACCCGTTAGAATGATAATTTATAATTTATTTTTTATTAATTTTTACAAAGACAATATAAAAATTCAATATTTTTATTTTTATAATTTTTTACAAAGACAATATAAAAATTCAATAATTTTTAGTTATTAATTTATTACATGTTATTTAAAAAATAGGTGTAAAAACCACTATTTACATATTTAGTATTTGATGAAGTTTCAATATTTTTTTAACAATCAGAATTAATTTGACAAAATGGAATAGTTTTAAAGTTGAAAATAAATAAACTATTTGTTTCCAAGTCTCGCCATATAATTAAAAATAAATACATATATAAATTATTGGATAATCAAATTCAGTTTTTTATTTATTTATTTTTTTTGTGATAGTATACCAAAATAAAAAAAAAATACAAAAGTTCAAATTAGTAACTCAGCCATTAATAATAATAAAGGTGAGAAGGAATTTTTTAATTATTATCCCATTTTTTTTTTTTTTTTTTTTTTTTTGGATATAGAAATGGCAAAGAAACTCTTAATAGTAAAAAGTCTTCAATGAATTATTGATAATAAAAGTAAAAAAATCATTGACAGTAGCCAAAGAAAATATAGTTATTTAATAAATTAAATTTTCAATTGAGTTATTATTTAAATATTTGTTCTTTATTATCATAATAATAAATGTAATATTAAAATCAACGTATAATAAATTTTTAAACTAAAAATATGCAACAATTTAAAAAAAAGATGCGTTAAATGTTAAAAAAATTACAATTATAATTTCAATAAAGTTTTTTAAAAAATTAAAAAAGTTATACTAATTGAAAATTGATTAAGAAATTTACTTAGTAGATTAAGGGTAAAATAATTAATAACATTCAAGAGAATGATAATGCCAAAAAAAGTAGCTAACAATATTAACAAAGCAACCAAAGGAAAATATGAAGAAAAGAAAAGAATTTCAATTTATAATTTATAAATTTAATGATTTTTAGATTTTTAATATAAACTAGTTAATTTCTTTTACAATAAAATTATAAATATAATTGATTTAATATCGGATTCAATCAAAACTTCTACAATAGGATTTTTGTTCCTAATTAAGATTGGATAGAATTTTTCGGTTACCATTTCTAATATATATTTGATTTGGTTACCATTCTAATATATATTGAAATATAACAATAAAATTAAAATTCCTTCTAAATTTTTATTCTTACCAATACTCTTATTAATAATACTATAATTAATTTATATTTTATTCAATTCAATAGAATTTCTATTTAAATAGGAAATTTAAAATCCTTAATAATTAAATTAGCTTTATTTTTTGACTAATAAAATTAAAATCTTTAACAATTTCTTATTTAGAATTGATTAAACTTCCTATAGTTCCTAGAACATACTTAATAAATATAAATGAAAATTTATTCTATTAATTTATAAATAGAAAAAGATAAGATTATACTTACAGCAAGAAAAAGACATGATTGCAAGCTCAATAATTTCAAATTAGTAAAACTTGATGTAATAATTCCTGATAGTCAAAAGCAACAAATTCGTGATAGTTAAGAGTAACAAATTTTTGATAGTCAAAACTCAAAATTAATTAAAACCAAAATGATATGATAAGACAAAATCCTAATTAGAATAATATTAAAAGACAAATTCCTAATTAGGGTGAGATTAAATTTATAATATTAATATAATAAAAATAATAAATTGAAATCATAATTAGAGTAGGATTAAAGTCAAATAGTCAAATTCCTAATTAGAATAAAATTAAATTTATAATATTAATAAAAAGAGCCGCTAATAAGGGATCACTAAATTTAATAACTTATATTATAATATATTGAAATTATATGTATAGAAATTTCAAAATTTTCCTAATTAGAATAGGACTAAATTATTTTTGACAATATTTTTAATTAATCAACTAACAAAATACCAATAAAATTTAGAGTTTTCTAATTAGAATAAGATTAAATTATTATTCAATCAACTAATAAAATTAAAAGTCTGCAGGGGTGTTTTAGAAACCCAATGTTCCCCCTCATTCACACACACACACACACGCACACACACACCACACACACACACACACACACACCATATATATATATATATATATATATATATATATATATATATATATATATATATAATATAAAAATTTGAAATTCTTATTACACGTAAAAAAATTATTGATTATTAATTATGATTTATTATATTATAATTTGAATATTGAAATTCCTACCGCTATCTTACTTCCATCGAAATACTTGAAACTAAAAATATTATCATGATAAATATTAATCTTGCAATCAAACTAAAATTTAAACTTTTAATGATAAAATATAAAATAAAAGGGAGGAAGAGAAGAGAAAAGGAAGTACAAGCATACCAAAAGATATGGAGAAGAGATATATGCAGTGAAAATAGCTTAGTAAATTTTGGTTATAACTTTAGACGGTAAAAATTCCATTGCTAACCCCTATTCTAGACTCTCAGCGACCAAAGAAAAAATCTATTTGTGTTATAACTTTAGAAACGGATAACAATTCCTTTTCTAACACGTTTGTAGAACCCTTTATCACCTCTTAGCAACGGAAAAATAATGAAACGAGATTTGTTAATTAATAAGAATAATATGATTAAGGAAACTAATATAATCAATTTAATTAAAATTATTATATACTTTAATCCATAAATAAAATAAAAAATTTTTTAATTAGAGGTTCCATTTTTTTAAGATATTTTATGATAATGCTATTCAAGATGGATTGGTCTATTTTTTAATTAAAAATTTTCATTGGAAAACTATATTTCTAAAGTATGCATTGGTCTTCTCGAGCTTCGCTTGCGAATGTTATATAATGTTAAAAAAAATAAAAATATTATTTTTATCATAATTAATAATTTTTTTCAAGAAGTCAAATATCCAATATATTATATTTATTAATATAAAAAAATAAGAAAAATAATTTATTTCCAAATTCTTGCAAAAGGATCAATATATTGACATATGCATAAATAAACAAAGTTTATAATTGTCACGACCCGTCTCCATGGGCCGGACCGGTACTAGGGCCCAGGTAAGCTTAAGGCCCCCGAGGCCCGTAGTAAGCCTAAATCACTAATATCTATGATTTCAATATAATATTTAAAACATTCAATATAATATTTAAAAAACATAATATAATATTTAAAACATTCAGCCTATATTTATAGAAAAATAAACCTCAAGATTCTATTAAATTTCGGCCCAAATTTATCAGTTACACATTTTCACAGATCGGACCCAATTAACAATACATCACATTTTTTTTTTATATATGGACTCACATAATTATATTGTCTACGTTAACACACGACTAATTGTACACAATTTCTACAACTACGGAGTTCACTAACAGATGTATACAGATAAGTCTTCAGACATTTATCTACTTAATAGATCAACATTAAAATTAAAGAATTTCTTTTTAACAGTGAAGGAAAGGAAGAACAAAAGATTATAGCTGAAGATTTAGACAATGCTACTTCCATGGAGATTTAAAAAGAGAGTGAGTTTTAATGGTAATAATTATTGCCACAAACACACGCTTCACACAAATGTATTAATATATCAATCTAGTCATTTCGACTTAGTTATATGCTCACACAGCCAGTCACACAAATGGCATATTCACAGCACTCACAAATTATTAAACCATCTTCATATAATCACATCCTGGAAAATTAAGTCAGTGGGCACCACCTGAAACCCCCAACGAAGCCATCCTCAACACATGGCTTCGCCCTACTCATACATGTGCACCAGGGAAGCCGATCCCCCAGACGGCCAACTGGTCTAATCCTCACTGACCAGTCCTCTCATTGTTTTTTCCATTCTCTCTGTTCTCTTTCCATACCAACAGGAGGCCAATCAGTGGTTCCATCCAATCTAGGATCGTCAAGTGCTTCACAAACAAGAGGCCACCCTGCGGGCTACAATAAAATTAGATTAGCAGGTGCGCAACAACAAAGAGGCCATTCCTGTGGTTCTATTATAACTCATTCATCAGGTGGCACACGGAGGCGCCGATCTCCCCATTTTTCCCAGCCGACGGTCAAATACATATC